TTCCATATAGTGATATCTTTCTACGGTTCACCGACAAAACCGCGCCCGACTAAACCGCGCCCGACTAAACCGCGCCCGACTAAACCACGTCGCTGATGTCATCAACAGGGTGACAACAGCACGGAGACAGAAGCGCACTGTAAAAGTAACCCTAAACCTAAACTTAACCCCTAAACCTAACCCTAAACCTAATCCTAAACCTAACCCTTAACCTAACCCTAAACCTAACCCTAAACCAAACCCTTAACTTAAACCTAACCCTAAACCTAACCCTAAAGCTAACCCTAACCCTAACCCTTACCTTAAGTTAAATCGGCTTTCTTTCAACGCGCTATTGTAAAGTGCCCTTCTTTCTCCACGCTGGCTGTTGTCGCCGCGTTGATGACGTCAGCGACATGGTTTAGTTGTGCACAGTTTTGTCGTTCGCCCTTTTGTCGGGTCACGATAATAATGACCTCTTGACTTTTGGAAACAACTAAAAGGGAGTCTGTACTGACTCTGTGTGTTTCTGTTTCTGTTTTTATAGGTTCCTGAAAGCAATATAATGGGGCAAGTTGGTCATGGCTATAAGTATGCTATTGGAATGCTGAATACAGGAAGAATTGGCATAGCTGCGCAGGTGAGTAAACTGGAAAATAGCTGCCCTCGATGGTCAAATCACAATAAAAGAGGAACTTTAGCCCTTGAGTTCCCCTTTGATTTTGAGAACAATTGCCTCTGCAATATTAAGCTGAAACAGAAGCTCAATAACAACATGCAAAGAGAGCTTAGATGCATGAGAAAGTCAGTTAAGCAGGAATGAGAGCAGAAGAGTTGAGTCCAAAGAAATGAATACTTAGGGATAAAAGTATTGACCATGCCAAATAGTACAAAGAATAATTTTAGTCAGGCTAAAAAACATGCCTTTTTTTGCCTTTTTTTCCCTCCTTTGAACTACAGGCTACTGTTACATACTGCAATCTACCTTTGGAGGTGCCATCTGTTTAAAAAAAAAATGGCACAGTGTGAAAAAAAGGAGCTATTTTTATTTTTAATTTTATTGTATTGAAAGTTTAAGAAAACAGGAAAAAATAGTACAAACTAAAACAGAAGAAAAATAGAATTAAAACAGAAGAAGGGGAAAATTGGGGGGGGGGTAGAGAAAGCTAACGTGCAACAAGAAAAGAAAAAGTAGAAAATTGGAAAAGGAAAAATTGATATACAGATGTGACTTCTGATCTTTACAGCTGTCATAAGCACAACTGTAGATTTCTCTAAAGTTATAACCTGACTGTCTTGTTTGCATATACTATACAATCATCAAAGAAGCAAGGGAACTATTTTTCAATCAACTGAAGTCCTAGCTTCTTTTGGGGGCATGGAATTAGCTACATAATTTGTTGAATCACAGCTAATGTTAACATTAAATATTATAATTACTTTCTGCTCGGAGGATAAATGATTAGATGTGACAGAGCCCTCAAAATTACATTGAATAGAATAGTTTCTCTGCTAAGACCATCCTAGAATCTCTTGTATATATCTATAATCGGTTCTTCAAAACCATTTTGTAACTTTTTCCTGAAGAAAGACAGCTAATCATTCTTACACATTTGTGTCTCTTTGTGAAATCCCATATTTGGCAGATGGATTTCTTTGGTTTTGCAGAAGGACCTCCCTTCAAAAATACTGATCCAAATCTTTGGAGTAAAGCAAACAACTCTATAATCTGTTCTTTGCTGCAGTATTTTCCTAGTTAGAATAAGACAATGATAATATGGATTTTTGCACCTCAGTAACTTCTTTTTTTAATTGCACTTTATAAGGCATTTTATGGCTTCCAGTTGTTTCTGAATTAAAGCTTCCGTGTTTCATGGCCCTGGATCGTATTAACTGACTATGTTGGAATGTTTATTTAATTTGTATGCCGCCCCACTCCCGAGGGACTCGGGGTGGCTAACAACCAAAGGTGGGAAGGGGGTACAAATAAGACAAAAGACAAACAGATTAAAAAACAACAATAGTCACAACATTTCAAGTGGGGCTGGAAATCCATCAGCCCCAGGCCTGCCAGAACAACCAGGT